AATATGTTTTTGACCTACATTCAGTATACGTACTATGCATTCATCACGTGACTGCCCATCGATGGGACTAAACTTCATACAGTACACAGTGGGTTATGCTATGCTATTTCCATAGGTATTTAATTTCTGTGATAATAAAACAGCTTAATTGATATAAATTCAATTTTAAATAAAATCCCCCTTTTAGCACATATATTTTCCCTTGATTTCTCATAGTAGGCCTTAACAGTGCTGCGAAGGTATTTAAGTTTTTTGCTCCATTTGCCTCAATTACATGGAGAAATTGAATGGAATTTCATGTCATCTGATATATACAATATGACAATAAAGATTTATTTTAAAGGAAAAATTTTCATTGCATAAATTATTTGTATACTTTAACAAAATACAATTAAAGATCAAAAGTTGTGTTTTAAATTAACAGCTGGCAACAAGATGATTCAGTGGATGTTATGGAGACCATCATGAATACTGTGTTCTTTAAAACAGTGGACTTGGCTTACAAAGAAGGTAGGTTATTGTGAAGATGTGTTGATCTTGTAATAAGGTATGTTAATACATGTAACAGTGGACCTGGCTTACAAAGAAGGTAGGTTATTATGAAGATGTGTTGATCTTGTTATAAGGTATGTTAATACATGTAAAAGTGGACCTGGCTTATAAAGAAGGTAGGTTATTGTGAAGATGTGTTGATCTTGTAATAAGGTATGTTAATACATGTAACAGTGGACCTGGCTTACAAAGAAGGTAGGTTATTGTGAAGATATGTTGATCTTGTTATAAGGTATGTTAAAACATGTAATTTTAATAGCTTTTTCATAAGGATTTTTTTGTGTGTGCATCATTGGAATTTTAATGTTTTTGTATTTGAATTTTCGGTGAAAAAACAATCTTTCTGAAAACAGTTTCTTTACCTGTTGAATATAAGAAACAAATATTTTTTTCTAGAAAGCAATGTTATTATAAAATTGCTGAAAACAATGATTTTTACTGACAAAGACAATAGTTTTGTCTTGGGCGAACTACTACTAAGTTTTTTTTATATTCTGATAAATAAAAGTCTTTTTTTCTTTATTTAGGAATGGACGTGAAGACATTTATGCCAGAATTGAGGGCAGTGTTACATTGTGATGAACTTGGAGAACTTAAAGATAATGCTGGATTTCAGTATTTGATACAGGCTGGATATGAGCATATTGGACAAGTTTTATGAATTATATTGAGAGACAGACTGTTTTAGATACAAAGCTTTGCATGTATGAACATATTGGATAAGTGTTAGGATTTATGAATAGTTGTTAACCAAAATTTCAATTCTGATATAATTAAGTGAAATAGAGGAGGACAGGCAATGTAGTAAATGTGCAAAATATGAAAAGGTAGCACAGTAATAATGCCATTCGCAGTAGAATTAAGGTGAAGATTGGAATATTGATAAGGAATGTTGCAATAAAAGCCAAAAATTTACTCCTTTTGCTGCTTTTTTTATACTGTATAGAAGGTTTCTTGAGCAGATGAAAAATTTGACTTTAATTTTTTTCATTGATTAAAGTTTTCATGTACATGTGCATACAAGTATTTTTTCCAAACATGGAGTTCAAACCATTAGTGTAATTTTATTTAAAGATATAAAAGGAAAATGCTTTAGGAATCTTTTTTAAATTTGATGTTTATTTGTACTTAGTGTGAAATCCTGCGAAAATAGTTAATTTAGGGCTTCATCTTTGAAGAAATTGATGCTGCTGTCTGTATAGCTAGCATATAGATGTTTTAATGTATGCTGACAAGTTTTATCCGAATGAGGAAAATGTAAATTAAAGCTCCACTTTAGTGTTCTTTTTTCATGTGGACTTTATCAGAAACATTAAGGAATGAATATTCTGTTTGTTGATTTACAAATGAATATAAATTCTTGACATAATAGATACATGTAAAAAGTTTGGATTTACATAAAAGTGTTGTGTTTGATATGTACTTTGCCTTAATAGTAGTCAGGGTTTGACACATGATGCACAAGCCGGAGGTTGTATTTATTATGCTTACTGTTGAATAGAAACGACAATATTATTTCCAATGTTTCCTCACCTTTTCCAATCATGTTTGTACATGCCTATTATGATGTCACAATGCACTACATGTACGTCATAATCTTCTTTTCTTTATTTTGAGTGTTTCATGCAAATATATTATATTCATGCATATACATTATAAGTATATTATAAGATATCTGAACTATTTTGTTCATTACATGGACAGAGAAAGTTTTTTCTTGCTAACATAATCCAACTATCAAAATTACTTACAGTATAACCTCTAATTAGAAAGGATTTCTATGATTTAAGGTCACCTGAGTCACTCAAGTGACCTATTGCTAACTGTTGTCTTCCATTCTCAATCAGTCGTAACCTTTTAAATATCTTAGCCTCTTCTCTGCATAGAGAACTGCACAACAAATTTAAACTAATTTCGGCACAAAGTATCTATGGGTAAAGCGGAACAAGATTTGTAAATTTCATAGTTCCTGCCCCCCCCCGGGGGGGGCCTGAGGGGTAAAATTAAAGCAATGTTTAAAATTCTCCTTCTTTGCTCCTAGACATCAAGCAGCCAAACTGTTTGCATGATTGTAATCAGTATTGAGTCTTTTACCAAAATTGTGAAAATCATGGCCCCAGGGTTAGGGGTTCCATTACTTTAATTTGACTGGACTACATAGATTAAAAGGTAAAAATCATTATTTTTTTTAAGTCTCCTCTGTTCCTGGGCATTAAATAAGCTAACCAAGTACATAGTTATGTTGGATAATGCTGCCTCTTTCAAAATTGAAAATTTCATGGCCCCAGGGTCAGGGGTTTTGGTTTAAGGGCGGGGCTTTATTGATCTTATAGTGAAAATGCACAAATTCTTTGAAAATTTTCTGCGCCTTATTGTTATGAGTGCTAATATTCTACTAAATTTTGCTTAATTCATTATTATGGTTTATATTTTGTGTGGATTTTATTTGCTCACTACACTACCATAGATTCAATTCAGGTATTACCGGTCACAGTAGCCTAGTGGTAGAGCGGTCGCTTCGTGATCGGAAGGGCCGGGTTCGATTCTCGATCGCGGCGCTGCGTCATACCTAACACGTAAACAAAGGTAGTGAATGTTCCTTCGCCATGCGCTCGGCACTGGAAGTGAAAGTCACGGGTCTTTCGGATATGACCTTAAAAACGTATGTCCCGTGTCACGGTAGGCGTTGGCACGATAAAGAACCCTCACTGCTCAATGGCCCTGAGTGCCGAGTATAGGTCAAAATTTGAAGCCCTTCACCGGCATCGGTGAAGTCTCCATATGAGTGAAAAATTCTCAAGAGGGACGTTAAACAATATACAATCAATCAATTCAGGTATTTAATTTTTTTTACATGACTTGTGCTATTTTGAGCAACAAACAGATTGTCATTTGTATCTGTACACAGTACCCAGGGTCCACATAATTCACACTGTATGTAATTAAGGAACTGTCCATCCTGGTCTATGATGTGCACGCAGTTATTGTAATTATCAGCTGTTAGGATGTGACCCTGACTGTCTGTGGTGATTCCTAGTGGAGTGAATTGGCTGTTGTTTGGAGCAGGAGTATGTCCAGTGTACCTGAATCTCAGTTTCCCGGCCTGATTGACCACCACTACTGCACTAGCTAGACAGTCAGACACACAGATATCCAAGTTCCTGTTCTCAGTCATGTATATGTATCCATAATAATCATAACTAAATGAATAGAGAGGATTACCTTTATCATCAAACTGAATGGTTTGTTTTTCTGTGGAGCCAGAGTAACGGACAACTTTTGTTTCTGTTTTTGTTTCATCATCTCTATACATGATAATCAGCAGGTCACCGGAGGAGGTACTACAGACACGAATTGGATCCCAGTGCTTCTGTATTTTGATCACTTCCTCTTTCTTCTCATTCTTTGCAACGTCCACAGTTCTGTCCCTTCCGTCAATATACACTAGATCTCCACTTTTTGTCACTGCAATGTCAGTTGAGATGTTCCCTGACCTGGTTCTGATTGACTTGAGTAGTGATCCCTGGTTGATGCTGTAGAGTTTCATGATGCTATCATATCCCTTTGTCCAGATTTCTTTATCACTCACACAGGCCATACTATAAATTTGTTTATACTCAGTATCTATGGTGGTGACAATCTCCGGTTTATCAAGCAGCTGTTTGACTGGCGGAGAGGATCCAGCTTCTGGTGATTTCTGTTTTGTCTTCAAGCTGTAGCCATGTTTATCTGAAGTAAAAGAACTTGATGATAAGGTTCCGAACAGTTTACCAAGTTTTTCTCCTTGAATTTTTCCTGGAGTAAATTTGGGTAAAGATGGTGCAAATTTTTGTGGAAGAATTCTGTATATATTTACATTTGATGTGAAATCAAATAGTTTTGACAAGTCATATGTTTCTATATCCATTTCAACTAGGTTGATTTCATCTTTGATGTCAGACATTGTCATGTTTATTTCATCCAGATGTTTCTGTAGAGTTTTTAACTGTGTGTTTTTCATCTCATCAACTTCAGCTTTAAGTTTCTGGACAAGTTTGTCAATTTCTCTATGCGAGTACTCTCCCTGTTTTGTTATGGCTGTTGAGAGATCTCCATATTCCGTTTCCAACTGACTCATTCTGTTTTGTACATCAAAGGCAATGTCCTCGTAGGTTGGATAAATTGTTTCCTTTAATTCAGTTTGTTGTTTCGTGATTTTGTCTTTTTTCTCATCTAAAGCCTGCATTATTTCTTATAGTTTATGACCCAGATGTTGATCAGATGCAAGGCATTTTGTACAAACAGGAATATCACATTTTTTACAGAACATTGTACTTTTTTGTTTATTGTGAGATTTACATTCAGGGTATCGGGGGGTTGATTTCTTGGACTGAAATTTAACAATTTCATGTTTCTTGGATTCATCAGATATTATGTGTTCTCCCACAGCAGGTTTTACACAGGTTGACAAGACATGTATCACAGTGCATCTGTACCACAGCAATCTCGCACAGGTCACATCGCATCACGTCCTGGGCACTGGTACGGGGGTCCATGGTTAAACTTTTGACTCTGAAGTAAAGAGTTAATAAGGCTTTAAGGTAGAGATAAAGTACGTATAATATTAAGAAATGAATTAATCTTTCATCGATATGAGATATGTAGGAGGAAAATTTTGCTGGATTTCAAACAATGATTGTTGTTTTTTTTCAATCACCAATAGTAAAATTTAAAATTTTTGCTACTGAAAGTAATCATGCCTTGGACATACACATCTGTGCCTAATTCCAAACTTATTCAATTTATTGTAATTTGGGTCAATATATCAAGTAAAATATCAGAATTGTAAATGAATTTTAAAACAATGTGATATAAAACTTGAATGGTTGTAGACGTGTTAAATTATGTTTGTATTAATTCAGACCCCCGTATCGTGAAACATCCTAATGATATCTGTAAAGTTTAAGATTGATTCAATAAGTAATATTTTACATTTTACAGGAGATTGAAAATTTGACTCATCATAACTCATAAGACATGGTCTTATAAACAACCACATTAAACTCTGAGTAGAATCAGTCATTCTTTATTCATTGATCTTACATGTAATCCTAGGTATCGCTTAATTTCTCGCTCCAATTTCTGACAGCTAAAAGTCAATGGTAAATGTAGTGCATTTACTGTTATAAAAAATAATCAAAATGTAAAATTTAATGTGTAAACATTACCTGACGTCTAAGACTGTAATGGTTGCCAATAATGTAGGTTTTGTTATGAGTTCTTACCACATGACCTGTTTCTCTGTGTTACCTAACTGTTTTTAATATTGATTTCCTGGTCTGTGTGCAGTAGAAATTTAAATATAAGCTCTCAGTTCTGCCATTGTAATTTTTCTTACTACAGCTAACTGCAAACATTTTGATATTTAAACATGTTAAAGCACACTATAAATATTACGAAACTTTCACAGCATGGTTAAATATTAAAGGTAACAGAATTCAAAACTGCTCAATGGAAGATCAATAATTGGAGAACAGCATTACTAAGAAGTCACTTTAATCACTCAAAATCTTTCTTATCTATTCTTAAAAAATGAATGTAGTGTTGAGTACATGTATATGAAAATCAAACATTTGAAATGTATATTTAGTAAATTTCTCAACAGATAGGACTTTGAAGATTTCTGCATAAAGGAGGACAGTAAATTTTTTCGCTGGCTGTATGATATACAGACCAACAACTTCTCTAAGGTAAATCATTCTTCTACATTAAATCTCTTAGCTGGCTCCACTATATACAGACCAACAACTTCTCTAAGGTACATCATACCTCTACATTTAATCTCGTAGCTGGCTCCACAATATACAGACCAACAACTTCTCTAATGTACAACTTACCTCTACATCAAATTTCTAAGCTGGCTCCATAATATACAG